TCTCCTCTCTTGCCCCGGGCGCAACGCCACTGACAGCGTCGTACCGGAGCCCCGTCGCCTTACGGGAGGCGCTGCATATTGGCCGAACTTTCGCAGCGGCGAAGTAAGGGCGATTATGCGTCGAGAACAGAGGACCATTTCTCGAGAACAGAAAATGTACCCTCATAACAATCACCCCGACACGCGAAGCCGTTTAGCAGACGCACCCAAACAAAGAATCGAACATGGCAGGGCTGTTTAGTAATAAACGCCCAAGGCCGTTTAGTAAACGCTGAATATCGGGTCCGGGTGTTTTCCCCCCCTTTGCATTGAAGCCCAAGATTGCGCCGGACTCAACTAAATTGAACTGGATTGAGCCGAAGATAGCCGGATTTCGCGGGATTAAAGCAAGACAGTGCTGACCCTCAACCATGGAGACAACAGCGCCGATGCTGAATCAAACGTCACACATGTGGCATTTGAATAAAGGACATATGATCATGCTGTTGTGTCTTCTTCGAAATCAGGCCCACACTCTCCAGCAGCATCCTCACGGGCAATCTGCATGTATACGCATATGCAATGCATCTTAGAGTTGCGGACTCTCCTTCCCCAGACACCAGACACGCGAAGAATGTGAATGAAAATCTGGCTCCTGGAGGCTGGGTTCTCACCTATATCCACTACGCCTCGGCATTTTAACGCCCCTTCCCAGAAAGTCCAAGTCGCAATCCATAGGGATACAATAGATCTTGCTCGCACGCATCGAAGAAGAGGAGAAAACGGTATAAAGATAAACGGTTGGGAGGTCCGCGCGGACTTCTTGGATCTGCACTGAACCCCCCCTCCCCTGGCGCGCCGGCGCCGCCAGGGGGTTCCAGCTCAGATCCAAGAAATCCGCGCGGACCGCCGAACATTTATGTTTCTGCAGGTTTTTGTTTCTCGATCTGGCTGCGCGCACAAGAGTGTAGGGGGAGGGGGGGACGGCTTCTTAGAAGAAGGCTGCATCTGAGGAGGAGCCGGCCTTCCATCTACAGTCAAGGCCCGCACCTTCTAAGAAGCAGGGGTGCCTCCAAGAACCTTCCTTCCCCCTACTACCCACCTCTGAACTTGGCCGATCCTCTTTGAGAAAATGCCCGCACCCTCCAGCAGCATCCTGTCGCCGCTGTCGCCGGAGCTCCTGACGCTCCCGCGCTCCCCGTGCTCCTCCCCGTCCCCGCGCGCGGCGTTCGCGCTGCTGTACATCCGCCGCAGCCCGGTGGCCGAACTGGCCGCAAGAGCGCCCCGAGGCGCACCGCGCGCCGGCAACGCCTGAGGCGACGACGGCTGCGAGGTGCTCGCAGCCTCCAACGGCGGAACCAACATGTGCACAGACAGGTCATTATGAATAGCTGGAGTGCCGGAGGGAAGTCTGCCGGCGCACAAGGGGTATTGCGCAAGAGGTCCGTATCCATCGTGCTTATTCGACACCTCCTCCTCCTCCTCCTCCTCCTTCTCCTGCACAGGCACGCGCACGCGGATCTGTTCCGAAGGGCATCCCCACGAGCCCCGCGGCAGGCGCACAGTGGCCCCCCGCACGAAGCCTCCGCATGAGACTCGCGCGAGCACCACTTCTGTCTGGGCTGATAAGCTCTTTCGGAGCTCCGCGCGGATTTCTTTGAAGGGGCCCAGGGACACACAAATAAATACACACACACACACCTAAGAGGATTCCCCATGCTCTCCCATATCTTCTGGGCTCTTGTCTTCCCCCCCACTTCCTCAATTTTCCCATATTTTCTGGGAGATCGACGATTCACTGTGTCTGTGTCTGTTTTGTCCCCTCCTGACTCTTGCCTCGTCGCTGGACCCCCCATGCATAGAGCGCGCGGGCCTCCGACAGTGCTAGGCCGGTGCTGCTCTTCGACGGGGAGGGCGCTCTCCGCGGCGCGCCGCGCGCGCCAGCAGCGCTCGAGGCCACGGCGGCTGCGAGGTGCTCGCGGCCGGAGCCCGGATGCTGCCTAGAAGTGCCCCTGGCCCGAGGTGCCCCCCGGAGTTCCGAGGCCCCCATCGCAGGCCTAGAGATTGCCACCAACACCAATTTCGGCGGTGTGCCTCCACCGGGGGAAGAAGATCCCGATCTCGGTGGCGGTGGAAATATTCTGGCTTCCAAGGTGGCCGAACTATTACCACCAACACCGAAAATCTAGGATCATCTTCCCCCTGTGGAGGCAACCCTCTGTCTTGGTGTTGGTGCCAATTTCCAGGCCTCCGACCCCACGGCCTCCAGGGCATCCCTCGCGAGGCCCAAGGGGGTTCCCAAGGGCTCCACGATAAGCCGAGAAGCTGGAGGGGCCTTGGGCCAGGGACACCGTCGGCAGCGCCGATCCAAGAAGTCCGCGCGGAGTGCCGGAAGATTGTGTGTATGCTGTCCTTGCTTCTTCGACTGAAGCGCGCCCCGAGGCGCGGAGGTCCCTCTGACCCGGCGGGCCTGGAGGATGTGCTTCGGCGCCGTGGGGGGGGGGGAAACTGAGAGGAGGCAGGCCTTCTCAGAACGCGACGGGGCTTCTCAGAAGCTCCCTCGCCTTCTGAGAAACCTTCTGCAGTGGGGGCCCGACCACACGAAACCTTTCAAAAGAAACCCAACCCTGAGACCCCAGGGCGTGCATGGATTTTTGGTGTGGGAGCGTCACGCCTTCCACAGCAAAACCATCGACACCCAAGAAATCCAGGGCACCCTGGAGGCAAGCAGGGTGGTTCTTGGCATGGGTCCCCACTGTACTCCAGGGACATCTCTCGGGGTGCTTTCTGACCAGAATCACGAGGCAAATCCAGCCGTGGCGAGAAGGGCCTCCCAGGAGGCCGAAAAGGGGAAAACGGGGCAAGTGCAGCGGTATCGTACCTTTTCCTCCTCCGATTCTCACTTCCCCCCTGGGCTTCGCCGCCGAACCACCCCATACCCACGATAATAATGTACCCCCCCCTATACACATAAGAGTTGATTATCCACGGCCAACATGAGTTTGGTCGGGGGCGCGGGGGCGCGGAGGCCGAACTTCATTATCACGGGGAAAAGTTCGCCATCAAGCGAAACAAGCAATGCTGTAGGAATCCTGTCGTTCTCTTCTCCTTCTCCTCTCCTCCTCCTCCTCCCCCTCCTCTCTCTTTCTTCTCTCTTACCTCTCGTTCAATATGTTTGTCTACTATCTTCTGTCTCTTTGTATATCATTATGTCGTTCTTTTTTTTTTCTCTCTCTCTCTCTCTCTCTCTTTCTTTCTCCTCCCCCCCGTGCCCCCTGAACTTGTTTATCGCTGTGCTTTATTATCAAAGGAAACCGAGGCAGATGAGCTATCCTACACGAGCAGATGAAAAGTTCAATTTTCATTAAGCGTTTACACAGTACACCTAATAAGTTTTGAACTTTGGATTTTGGCTATTTCCTTCTCCTCTCCTCCTCTTGCTGTTTCTCCTCTTCCTCCTCCTCCTCTTCCTCCTCTACCTCCTCTTCTCTTTCCATCTTTCTATGTATCTCTCTATGTCTCAAGCGAAACGAAAGATTTGTCGAGGATGTCTCAAGCGAGACAAGCCATTGTGGAGGATGTCTCAGAGAGGACAAAAAGCCAGGGATGTCTCGAGATATCCTCGGCTCTGGCTCCTCTGTTGACATCTTTATACTGGCTCTGGTGGGCAACGTTTATCATCACACCGTAACCGCCGAACTTTACTCTCCCTGGGGGTTTATTCTCGGCTGTATTCGGTTATCGCTCCAAAGGCGTCCCCGCGCGCCCTGGGACGGGCAGTCCTGGTCCTGGCCCCGCCCGGTGGCCGCTCGCGCGTGCGGCGAGGCGCCCCTGCCCGTGTTGTTCCGTGGCTGTGGTTGGATTCGTTGCTGATTGCGGGGTACGGCTGTTTTGTTAGTGACTACCTACCAGACCACCCCAACCCAACCCGAAGACCCGAATTTCGGGTTGGGGGGGGTATGGGCTCCATATGTGTTTTTTCGATGTTCCCGGACCCCCCCCAACTAGAAATCGAGGGTAAATCTGAGCCTTCGGGTTGGGTTGGGGTGGTTTGGTGAGTGGTGAGTTAGATCGGTTTGCGCTGTTCAGTTTGCAAGTCTCCACTGTTGTTTGTGTTATTTTTGGCTGCGAGCCACCAGTGCCCAGGGCGCCGCCCTGCGCGGACAGGGCGCGCCCCTCGATGCAGACGAGGATGCTGACGTCTAGATTCTAGCAGTCTGCCCTGGGATGAAAAGCCCGCACGCGTGCACTGCGGTCAAGCGGCCGGCTATAGCAACCAGGGTCTGAATCAGGGGAATCCAGCTGGGTGGCGCTGCGTCCTTGTTCGGCCTCCCGAGGGGCACCACGACGCTTTACCACTTCAAAATCATGAAACATCCCCCCTCCCATTTGAGATCAACAGCCGTGTCGATAACGCAAAAACGGTTCCTGTGCAAGCGGGCGTCCGAAAGAAACCAGCTGGCCCACGCGGAAACCTTCTCCTGGGACCCATCCTAAGAAGTCCGCGTGAAATGCGGCAGAATTTGCAGTGTAGAGTACAGTAGGGGCCCGACCACAAAAAACCCTCCACAAGAAACTCAACCCTGAGACCCCAGGACGTCCATTGACTTTTATGGTGTGGGAACGTCACGCCTTCCACGGCAAAACCATCCAAACCCAAGAAGCCAAGGGCACCGTGGAGGCAAGCAGGGTGCTTCTTGGCATGGGTCCCCACTGTAGCGCTGCGGGTGACCCCGGCCACCGATGCAATCTGCTCCACTCCGTCTGCAGACGTCTCGCACTTCTCCCCCCGCCCTCCCCTTCCCTTCACCCGCTGCGCCTCTGGAGGGGGACAAGGAAGATGAGGGGCAACGACAGGGGGGGGACTGGCTCTCCGGGGGAGGCCCGTCGAGCTGGAATCAGCTAGCCATCGCAAGTGGATCGGCGATCGGCTTCCGACGTAACACCGCACGATCATGGGCGGGGCGGGCTATCGGGCCCCTACCGGCGATCAACAAGTGATTCGGGGCCGATGCATCCCCCCACGAGCCTGTCCCCCCCTACCGTCGCCCCTCGGAACGGGGGGAGGTGCCGGACACAAGCGTGGGGAGGGAGGTGAGGTGCGGTTGGGGGGCACGGCTGGCTACGACATCGAGCGCGCACCTTCTTCTCGATCCTCGCGCGGTCAGGCCACCTCATGTATCATGCGCCGACTCGGGGGCGTCCAAGAGCGAGGCGTCCCGGAGGGGGGTACATGCAGATCATGGCCCAAGGCACGTGCACAGCTCCGGGGGGGGGGGGGGCCAAGTGATGTCTAGAACAAACAACACATCCATAACATCTGGGGACGCATCCTGGGCTGGCTGGCCATGGTATCCACCACTTCTGAATCATCACGCCCCTCTTGGCCACCACCGGTGCAAGCAAGCCCACTTGGCATGCGCACGGCCTGTGCACTCTCGGTCACACCCAACCTTTACTACTTGCTAACTACTGCTGGTTGCTCATTGGCTGCTTCCCATAATCCCACCAGTCCTTTAGGGCGTAGGTGCTCCAGGAGGCTTTGTCTTCCATCTACCCCTTCCCCTTCGGGGAAGGGTTTACAATTGTTCCTTATCAATATACACCCCCTCCCCGGCAGACGGCCAACCCAGAACCATGCCGACTCCATGCTGGCCCGCCACTCACCATCCCTGTCGAAAAGCAAAACACATCTCACTATGCCTCCACACTTGGAGCATGCGCGGCCAACCCGATGCGACAGCCTCCCAACATCCCTGCCAACAAAAACAATGCAAAATAGAATTTGTGGCAAAGTCTTGAATCATGTTCGTGAGGCCTGCGAGCACTTCGTATTGCTTTTGGCAGGGACGGCGGGAGGGTCAGCATATTCCCTGCTGTGCGCAAGGCTACCATCCCTGACAACAAATAAGACAAGATGCACCTCGCGGCTACATCTGGATCACGCGCGGCCATCCCGCGATCACTGCCAAGTGGTGGGACGGCGGGGTGGTGGCGCGTGGCCTGCTGTGCGCAGGCCCACCAGACGCAATTACGGGCATTGGTTTTCGACAAGGATGGCGGGGGCCGACATGTTTCCCGATGTGTGCTGTCACCTGCGCCGGCGCACCTGACGCACTCTGCACGTGCCCCGGACGTGGCGCACCTGGCGCGGGCGCCCAGGAGGCCCCAAGAGGCGCCCAAGAGGCCTCCAAGAGGCTCCCAAGAGACCCCGAAGATGCCCCAAGAGGCACCCAAGACGCTCCAAGAGGCCCCCAGGACCGCCAAGAGGCCCCCAAGACGCAAAAGAGGCCCAAAAGAACCCAAATATGGCCCCAAGAGCGCCCAAGAGTGTCCCAAGAGCGCTCCAAGCGGGACCCTTCCTCTGCGTGCTGCCCACTTTCCTGATCGAGGCAACTCCTCTGGCCATCGTCTCTGGATGGGCTGGTGGGGATACTTTTTCGGTCGCGGCCGCAAGCGAAGAGGCAAACAACGAGCAGGGTGTCCGGGCCAACGGGCAAGCCTAATTAGCTACAAGAGGCGCACTAGCCGGCCGGCCCACTCACAAAGCAGCCGCGAGGCATAGGGATCGCTGACGGCGGGGGCTGGTGGGGTCACGCAAAGCGTCTAAGAGTTCACTACAACTACTGTCGACACTCCACTTGTTGATTGCAGCCTCCCGGGTACACTTCGACCGGCGGCAGACGGCGCGAGCAGACCGCGCGAGGAAAAGTGCCACTCGACCCCCACCACTCCTCCGGCGAGCCAAGAGACTTCAGCCAGATACAGTCGGGGCGCTGAAGAAGGAACCCTTTTCGTTGGGTAGTGTCTCGGTGTTCCTTGATTGTTTCACAGCTTGCCTGAGGTTTCCTTGGATAAAAGAGGCCTCGCTCCTGATCTAGAGTTCCTTAGGTCAACGCCTCGACTGTAATGCCCCCCTGCCTGAACTGGCCCTGGATGTGTTTCTTGCTTCCGCGACAACTCTACGGCCCTCAACGGGCACCTCGTGGCGACCAGCTGAGAAACTGGAAGGGCAGCCCCAGCAACGTGGGGCGCACGCCACCAGCCAAGGAGGCCCCGTTCGGGGCATCCTGCTGCTGAACGGATGCGAACCTACCTAATTCGCGAAGAGCGGAGCGCTAGTTGGCCGCAGTAAGCAACCGAGATGGGAGCAAGCGAAAGAGAGTGTTTGAGATCGGCGGCGAAAGTGAGATGGGATAGACCAGACCTTGCATCGGAGACCCTCTGGTCGGTTCGGCATCGGATCCGCCGCTCACAGGGCGCACGGCGACTTGATGGGCACCGTTTTGGAGGGGGCAGCTCAATCGGGGGGGGCATCGAGCTGGAATCGGCGAATAGGCCCCCGATAGTCCGCACGCTCCTGGGGTGGGTGGGATATCGGGCCCCCATCGGCCATGAATGGGCGATTGGGGGTCGATGCATCCCCCCTGAGCCTATTCCCGTCCCAGGGTGGCTTTCGGGCAATAACTCGGGCCTCTAGCAGACGTTCGAGACGATCGAGGCACCCTGGGGACACCCTCGGCGCTGCGCAGCTGCTGGAGACCATCCAGAGGCTGGACCACCGCCGATATCCGACCAACAAACCCGAAAACTTCGAACCTCGACCGAAGGGGAACTGGGGCACACAAATACATACACACATAAACATATTCCCCATATTTTCCCATATTTGCTGGGTTTTTGTCTTCCCCCCACTTCCCATATGTTCCCATATTTCCTGGGAATCGCCCATTAATTGTGTCTGTGTGTTTTTTCCCCTCCTGACTATCCCCCCTCACGGTGCCCCTGAGCTCCGCCGCTCACAGTGCGCACGCCGAGTCCGACTCTCCAGCTCGGTCGACAGCCGCAGCGCCAGAGAGAAAGAGCGCGTCACCACCCGCCCCTGCCGCGCGCACGGCGTGCTTCCTGCGGCGGCTGCGACCGCGGCAGCCAGATCATGTTGAACTCGGCGTAGTCTGCTCGGAGGAGGGCCCGCTGAGACAGTGGCGGCTCTCCCTCGGATGATCCGCAGAGCGTGTCAGCGCCGACGTGTGCTCGTCCACACCGAAGCCCTTCCACACGACGCAGGCGGCGCAGCGAGGGCTGACGCAAGCTGCACACCGTCGGCGACACGGAGCAGGGCTCGCTGCACGCACACGAAGGGGCTGACACGCGCCCTCAGAATCGTCGGCTCCCGCCCGCCCGGACTCTTCTCAAGATCGGGCCCTGGACCTCTGCGCTTCCATCAGGACTCGTTTTAGATCGGGCACGTCCCCCTACACCCTGCGAAATGCTTAAGAAATCATGGGTTAAGCAATTCATAGTCTCAGAATTCGAATAAAAACCCAACAATTCTATCAAAATCATAGGATGTACATTGAAACGTTAAGAATAATCGAGAATCTGGCCGAAAACTTAAGTTTTCTTAAGCATCGCCTAAGGTGTACAGGCGCATTCTGGAGGAACCATTAAAACAAGACTCAAGCCATATCGTTTGAATGTTCCTCCTGTCGAGCGACAGGCCCGACTTAAGACTCGTTCCTCGGCAACGATCTGGCCTTGGGCGTGGCTTCATGGGGGGGTCATAAATGGGGGGGTCAGAAACGGTTCCCTTTCGTGCCCCTTTCGGGCCCCTCCGGAGCCCCAGGGGGCTCGTTTAGGTACCGTTTGGGTACCTTTTCGGACCACTCTCGCCACCCCCCCATGTATGACCCCCCCATTACGCAACGCCCAGTGGCCGTCACGACGAGGAGCCACCGGGAGGCGCAAGCCCGGGCGCCGTACGCGCCAGGTCGCCACGAGAAGCGCCGCTGCTGTCCGACCAGCCCCCCTCCGATCTTCTGCCGGCCGAATGCTCGGCATGATGTCCCGCATGGCCTGACCGGCCTCGAGCTTATCCCTCACCTGATGTTGCCGCCATCGTACTCATGGACCACATGCCAGAAATAGTTTCGAAGACCCCGCAAAGTATCGAAACGTGGTCGAACCAGTATCGCCTCCCAGGGCCCGACACGTGAAAATCCTCAGATTTCGGTCCTTTCCTGGTGCTCGAAGTTCTTCCTGGTGATCAAGGCTGAAGCAGGTTGGAACATCAGAACCCTTACCGTGGATATTGACAAGCCCAAGGCCCAAGGCGATGACAGCCTCAGGGGTGTGCCCCCAGGCGAGGAGGGATCCTCAAAATCGGACCATTCGCGGCGGCGATGGCCGCTCCGAACGCCACCTACCGCTGTCTCTCAGCGCCTGACATCCGCCGATCGGTTTGTTCAGTCTACGGCGGCAGAAGTCCAGACCGCTTCCCTGGGGGTGCTGTTGCTGTCCCGGATCCGTCTTGGATGGTCCTGGCCCCCGAGAACGGCCCAAGGAGGCCGAAGTCTCAGAACTCAGAACAAACGCCCAGGCTGAGCACTACCCCGCGACTTACCCAACCCGTTCGCATCAGATGGAACCAGGAGCTGCCCCAAAGCGCGATGGATGGTTGGAAAGCGGGCTCGTCAGTTGTTGCGCAAGCGCGCGCGTTGCACGACTCAAAGGACAACCACAGCTTGCCATCGCTCGGACGTCCATTTCCCGTGCATGTTTCGGTTTCGTGCGTGTTTGTTTTGCTCGATGGTCCAGGATGGTGCTCGATGGTTCTCGCCGAGAAAAAATACACACGTCCGAGCGATGCCAGGTCAAAGGAACACCACAGAGGGACAAGAAGTGCGCATCCCAAAGGATGGCGAGGTCCAGCTCTGATCTGCGATGCACCGCACGGAGCGGGCTTCCCCAGCAGCCCTCCCAAGCGGCGACAATATATTGCAGTTATCATTGCTCGAGGGTGTCGAACGCTATTGTTCTCGAGCGCGCTGGATCCAGGCCCCTCTCCGACATCTTACGCGACCGCCAGGTGCATGTGTTCCAGAAGATCGGGTCCCAATGCAACAACTCGATTGTGAAATACCTCGTGTGCTACGAAGGCGGCGCCCCCAACAGTCGAACCGAGCACAGACGGAGAGGCAGACCCAGACATCAATAGGCCGAATCTGTATACAAGGGCAGGAGCACTCACAACATCTTTGACGTTGTTGGGGCACTCGTCTACCCTGTCGCTCCGGAAAGCAAACTTGGTCATACATCATCACATGTATGTTTCTAGCAGCGCGTTTAGCGGACTGCGTCCAGGCGCGTTTGGAGTCAGATGCCCGCCATATTGATTGTGCACTTGCAAGTGTCTTCCTATTCCACTTCCTCGTATCCTTCGTTTCTTCCTTCTCGCCTCCCTTTCGTTGGCGTCGAGTCGCATGCACGTGAATCTTCCCTTCCGATTGCCCAAAGCGGTCGTCGTGGCGACGCACCCTGTTGAACGCATGGCTTGATTGAATGAGTGAGCCCCCCAAAAATGGCGATGGCGAAGTCGAATCTGAATCCGCTTATAACGTCACGTCGCCGCCCCCCCCAGCAGCCCTCGAAAGTGGCGGCGGCTTCGCAGTTCATAGCACCCCAGGGGCGGCGAGGACTGATCTGAGTCCGCGTATGACGTCGCTCCGCTGCCTCCCCAGCAGCCCTGGAAAGTGGTGCCAATTTCGCAGTTCGCAGCCCCCCCCAGGGGTGGCGAGGTCTTATTTGAGTCCGCGTATGACGTCGCTCCGCTGCCCCCCCTTCCAGCAGCCCTCGAACGTGGCGACGGGTTCGCATTTCGCAGCCCCTGCGGGGCGGCGAGGAATGATCAGAGTCCGCGTATGACGTCGCTCCGCTGCCTCCCCAGCAGCCCTGGAAAGAGGTGCCAATTTCGCAGTTCGCAGCCCTCAAGGGGTGGCGAGGTCTAATTTGAGTCCGCCGCGTATGACGTCGCTCCGCTGCCCCCCCTTCCAGCAGCCCTCGCAAGTGGCGACAGCTCCGCCCTTCGCAGCCCTTCAAGGATGGCGACGTCAGATCTGAGTCCGCGTACAACGTCGCTGCGCTGCGCCCCCTGCCCACCCGCAGCCATCGAAACGTGGCGACGGTTCCGCAGTTCGCAACCCCCCGGGGTGGCGAGGTCCAATTCGAGTCCGCGTGTGACGTCGCTCCGCTGCACCCCCCCCGCAGCCATCGAACATGGCGACGGATCCGCAGTTCGCAACCCCCCGGGGTGGCGAGGTAAAATTCGAGTCCGCGCATGATGTCGCTCCGCTGAAGCTCCCCCCGCAGCCATCGAACATGGCGACGGATCCGCAGTTCGCACCCCCCCGGGGTGGCGAGGTGAACTTCGAGTCCGGGTATGATGTCGCTCCGCTGCACCCCCCCCTCCCCCCAGCAGCCATCGAACATGGCGACGATTCCGCACCTCGCAGCCCCAGGGGGTTGTGGGGTCTGTTTCGGGTCTGCGTACGGCGTCGCTCCGCTGCCCGCCCTCGAGAGTGGTGACAGTTTCGCAGTTCGCCCCCCCAACAAAAATCGCGAGGTCCAATCTGAGCCACCCGCGTATGATGTCACTCCAATGCGCCCCCCCCAGCAGCCCTCGAACATGGCAAACGTTTTACACTTCACAACTCCAAAGGATGGTAAAGTCGAAACTGAATCCGCGTGGGACTAAACGATGCTGGCCGTCCCAGCAGCCCTGGAGAAAGGTCGCAACCACCTAGGGATTGCCAGGTCGAATATGAATCCGTGTAGCCCCCGACTACCCTGTCCCTCCCTCATCAGCCATCAAAAAAGGCGACGACCTGATCATCCCTGTGGGGTTGCGGGGGGGGCAGCGTAGCTGGGGCCTACGCGGATTCAGATCTGACCCCGCCATCCCTGGGGAGGGCGGGGCGAAGTGGGACTCTGTCGCCACTTTCGAAGGCTGCTGGGGGAGCCAACATCGTTCGGACCCACACGGATTGAGATTCATATTAGACCGTGTCATGCTTGTGAGGCCGCGAGGTGTGAAACTGTCGCCACGTTCGAGGGCTGCTCGGAGGCCTACATAGTTGGGATCTACGGTCAATCAGATTAGACTTCGTCGTCCCTGGGGGACTGCGACGTATGAAACCGAATCAGAATATGTACAGGACTCGACTGTGCTGACCCCCAACACCCATCGAAAGTGGTGACGGTTTCACACTGCGCAAACCCCCAGGGACGGCGAAGCCGAATCAAGATCCGCGTAGGGCCAGCACTCGAAAGTGGAAATAGTTTCAGGTCTTCGCAGACCCCAATGATGGCGACGTCTAATATGAATCCGCGTAGCCCCCGACTATGCTGAACCCCCCCCAGCAGCCCTCGAGAGCGGCGGCGGTTTCTCACATCTCGCAGTTGCACATGGATGGCGAGGTCCAATCCGAATCCGCGCAGCCCCCGATTATGCTGCCCCAGCAACCCTCGAAAAATGGCGGCGGTCTCGCACTTCGCAGTCCCCCGGAGATGACGAGGTCGAATCTGAATCCGCGTAGCCCCCGAGTATGCGTGCCCCCCAGCAGCCCTCGTAAGTAGATGGCGGACGTGTCACACTTCGCAGCACCCCACGGGATGGCGTGGTCGAGTCTGAATCTGCGTAGGCCCCGGCTATGCTGGCCCCCCACCGGCCCTCGAAATGGGCGGCGGTTTCACACTTCGCAGCGGCGAGGTCTAATCTGAACCCGCGTAGCCCCTGGGCATGCTGCCCCCCCGCCACCCCCGCCAGCAGCCCTCGAAAGCGGTGAGAGTTTCACACTGAGCAGCCCCACGGGGATGGCAAGGTCGGAGGCAAGAGGGGAGAGAGGAGAGGAGACACAGCAGGAGGCAGAAGGAGGAGAGCGGGAAGGAGGATACGCGACCCCAGTGCTCTTCTCAAACGAGAACCCAAAGCAGGAGGGTGGAGAAAGTCATATCGTCGAAGATCTGGAACTCGCCCTAAAGGCGAAAAATGACAAGAAATGCAACGTCTGGATTTCAGCCATAGGGACAAGGACCTCCAGAGGCCTGGTTCCCGGGGACTGGCCTCTCATCCCGAGTCGTTCTTTGACGGTCCCGAAGCCTGATACGGACCCGGGGAGGCCGAAAATGGCCAAAAACCTTCAGTCATGATTTTCTGACATACGGTACAGGGAAAGAATTACTGAACACTTCCCTTCCCCCCAAAATGCAAAGCTGCCACGCGCGGGGGAGACTGCGGTCGAAGTGCAACTCATCAGACCCACCGCCAACTTTGAACATTGGGGGGAGGGGGGGATGTTGACAGATGAATGTGGCATGAGTGCTCGATATTTTCCTGGCCTGTAAGGATAAGACATAGCTTGGTGAACGTTTCATTATTCGGCGTTTCGACATTGGGCGGCAAGGAGGGAGGGAGGAGGGGTCTGGCTCCGGACCTCTGCTCAGTGCGACTGCTTGCAGCAATGCGTTCTAGGGGGGGAGACTCCACCCGCTCGAAACAGGCGCCAAGAGCAGCCGAGATCTACTCCAATTAAGGGGGGGTGGAGGGGGGTGCGTTTTTTTTTTCCCAACCATCCTGTGGTGTTGGGTCCTCGTTTTGAAGTGACGGTGCCCCGCGTTCTCCTTCCTTCCTTCCTTCCCGCTGCCCCCCCCTCCCTCCTCTTCTCATCATCATCAACATCATCCCCATCATCGTCATCGTCATCATCATCTGTCGTCATCATCATTATCACCACCCATGTCGGCACACCCCTCACACGTTTCGTGACCCCATAGGGAGCTCCACCGAAGGTCCCAGTGCGTGTGCCCGCATGCGTCCCGCACACTCATTTCGGCACACCCCTCACACGTTTCGTGGCCCCATAGGGAGCTCCACCGAAGGTCCCAGTGGGTGTGCCCGCATGCGTCCCGCACACCCATTTCGGCACACCCCTCACACGTTTCGTGGCCCATAGGGAGCTCCACCGAAGGTCCCAGTGGGTGTGCCCGCATGCGTCCCGCACACCCATTTCGGCACACCC